GTGTGCAATTGCCCCAGTCTCCTGCCCTGCTAGTTGGTGGGCATGGCTTAGAGTTTACCTGCCATGGCCTGAGGTACAGCTTCCAGGCCTACACATGGAGTGTGACCTCTGACATGGCTGGAAGGTCAAGGGCATGACCTCTGACATGACCAGAAGGTCAAGAGAAATAGCCAATTACAGTGTCTTTGCAGGGGGAGGAGGTTCTGCTGGAAGATCCCCCCTGCCCTCCCCTTTCTTACCTTTATAAGCTGTAACCTGTGCATAACAAAGCAGACATTCCTCACCAGTTTGTCTCTGATGTTTCTTATGGCTGAAGAGCAAGGTGTTGTCTCGCCCTCAGTGACCTTGGGGCCTGCTGAGAGGCTTAAACCCTGAGAGTTAACTGCATTTTACACACCACAGATACTGTATTTTATAGATTAAAATTATTTATGCTATGTTACAGCTGTTATTTATGGTTAGAGCCAGCTCTCAAACTTTTTTTTTTACCCTAACCACAACAAGAAGGATTTTACAGAATGCAGTGGCCATATAGTACAAGATTCTATTTTCTATCTCATTCTATTTACTTTTTAACAAATATTGTCCTTGATCCAGGAAGTTGACCTCCTGCGCTATCCATGTGTTACAGCTTGTGATCTGGAAAACATTATATAATGTATGTGTGGTATTATATTGCACACAGCCTAGTTTTCTTCCAACTTCAGGGTTCTATTACCTCTAGCATTGAGTCTAAAATGACTAGGTCTGCACTATCTATATCATCACATGGACAGCAATTAGAATGTGAAAAAATAAAACCTCCTAGACACACAGATGGGGAGAGAACCGCTAGTGATCTCCCAGGCAAAGCCTCTCAGAAGGCCATGGACAGAATCAACTCTGGCCTCCATCCCTCCCAGAAGTCCCTAAGAAGCCAAACAGCATGGGATTTAGCTGTACAGCCAGAGTGCCTGGGTTCCAATCGGAGGCTTACTGCCTCCCTTGGGAAAGTCCCCTTAGCCTCTCCCAGCCTCATTTTCTTCATTTACAAAATGAGCATAAAAGCTAGTTGTCCTCCTGGCAGACAAAATGGGAAACAATTTCTCCTCTTGTGCTTATCTTGGTATGAAACCCCTTTTCCAGCTTGGCCAGGTCAGGGGATGTTTGTGGCCTCTTTGCCTAAAAACTCCATTCTTTATGTTGGTATAGCTCCATGAGCTATGATGAAGCTCCATGAGCTTAATCCTATATGGGGCCCATGCTGGCACTGACCAGACATATGTGCAATGGCCGGGCACTGTGCTGGAGCCGGGAGGCACCATCAAGTGTGCTCAGGAAACACCAGCCTCACAGCCCAAACGCACCTGTGTGCCCATCCTATGCTTCCAAAACGGACAGCAGCCTCTGCCATGGCCCCGGTGCCTGGGGACACGGAGCCAGAAGTGCGAGAGAAGGAGGAGGTCAACCCCAGAGGGGCTCCACTGCAAAGTCACATCCTCGGCCCTGCTCATTAGTGACTCCCAGCTCTGGTCGGTGCCGCTGGCCTCGGGCGCTGAGACTGGGAGTTCACAAGAGTCTTTTAGGCTGCTCCTGAGTTTCTTTCCAAAGGGCTTTAATTAAAAACACATCTCAATGCCATATTTCTCCACCACAAAAAAAAAAAAAAAAATACCCTGGTCAGGGCTGTGGCTCCACAAAGAGTGGAAGTCATTTTCACAGAGCCATTAAGTTTTAGGTAAAAAAAAAAAAAAAAAGGGATGACTGTGTAAGGACCACATCACCTGTCTACCTGTCTTCCACATCAAGATTTCTCTCTTTAACATGTGTGCAAAGGACTGGGCTGGCAGACTCGGTGAGAAATAAAGGAACAAATAGACAACCAACCAGAGCCTGGTTTTTATAATAATAAGCACAATGACTTATTCTTCAGACACCCTGAATTTCAGTGTAACAATCTGTCAGAAGGTGCACAACTGTCACCCCATGCGGCTCTGAGATGAAGGAAGCGCCCACACACCGCCAGCAGGAGTCAGGTGCAGGATCTTCCAGACCCTCTGCCCTGCTCTCAGCTGCTTCCTCTCTTGAAACCCTGGTTCTAGCTTGAAAGGTCCTTCCAATACCGTGATTCCACAGTATCAGAGTAAAACACGAACCTTCAAAACATCCGTGCAAAGTCATCTATCACAATAACCATTGTCCACATGGGCCTGCCTGAGACCACCTCCCACAGTGGACCACTGCCTACTCCGCAGCTGTCTCAGACAGTGCCTCTGGAATGAGTTCAATGGTGACCCTTCAACACATCCATATCTTAATATTGTTAGAGTTTGATTTACCTTATTTGGTAAATGACTAAGTTTACCCATATTTATCCACATGGGCCTAGAATACAATTAGACACATTCGTTTAAGAGAGAGAATGAGGGATAAGAAGGTTGTAAAGAAAGACACTGGAATCCAAGTGATGCAAAGGGAACAGCTTTGGTAGGGAGCATGGTCCAAACCTGCCTTGATGTCAGAAGGCTTGCTTCCAAGGCTGTGATGGAACACACGCCCCTTATTGGAAGCCACAGCTCCAGGAAACACACACCCTCACAGTTTTGTCAGCAGACATCAACCAGATGCAGAGAAGTATGGCCTGGCATCTGGGAGGAAGAATCTGCACTGCGGAGAATGAGGTTATGTCTAGGGGTAAGAAGTTCCACACAGGGCACCTTTGGAAGGTCGGCTCTGGGGCTGGCTGATGGCAAAGGAATCTCATCATGCCCTTTCTACGGCCTTTGTAGTAAGGAGTATAGCTGAAGAGATGAAGGAGGCTACCAAAAACCCTGGAAGCTGTGAGGGCATAAGGCTTGGAAGCAACCTTCCACTTGTCACGGACTACAGGCGTAGAGGTGGCCAATCTCATTCCCACCTTCCTGCCTTCCTTCCACAAACAGCCACCAACCAAGGGCTCACTGTGTATCTAACACTGAACCAGGAGCCTGGTACACAGCTGTGAACACAAACTCCATGCCCCACTCCTCTTGGAGGAATCTCCATTTGGGAGGTGATTTTGCCTCACAAGGGACATTTGAAGATATCTGGAGACAGTTCTGGTTGTTCCAATGGGCACGGAGAGGATGCTACTGGCATCCAGTGGGTAGAGAGCAGGAAAGTTGGTAAACATTCTACAAGGCACAGGCCAGACCCCTGCAATGAAGAATCATCTCCAGGCCAAACTATTAAAGGTGCCCAAGCAGGTTACAGATGATGTGCAGTGCACCAGCTAGGAGGAAAAGACAGAGCTGTAAGAACATGCTTGACAGGCAGATGTCATCCACCCTAACCAAAGGGTCAAGTCCATCTCCCCAGAGAATGTGGCGTGGAGGCTGGGAGCTGTAGCATGAGATTTGCAAGCATTTGCTTTTTGGTAGCTTAACTCGACAGTACAGCAAGAAGGGCAGGTGAGAGGTGTAGGATACAGAGCAGCAGGTAAACAAGGAACACTTTCAAAAGGGCTCCTGGGTCCCTTCTGGGGAAGGAGAGGGCCATCTTGATGGTGGTAAACGGTGGTACAACCTGGTCTTGAGCCTGGGCTTAGAGTTTGGAGTGAATTCAAGACCCAGTTTCATGACCTATTAAGTGTGTGGCTTTGGACAAGCCAACATCAACTGCAACTTTCTAAATCCATCCTCAGACACTATAGCGGATGGTTGGGGTGCGGGGAGAAGGGCAGGGACAGAGTTGGGATTGAATGAAAAAATACACACATATCGCCAGCCTGACACATCGCTCTCATTTGGGCTTACAAAAGTCACTCTGGGCCCAGGATGCAAAATAAAATGGAGATGAACACCCACAAACACTCCTCCTTGGAAGTACAAAGGAAACCAAACAAAGCTCAGGCAAGCCCTGAGGCAAGGTGCTTCAAAGTCCTCAGTGCCACACCACACCGTGGTGACCTTAAATGGCAGCAACAAGACCAGCTCCTGTGCCCACTGAACTCGCTACAGGTGCTCTGGATACAAAGATTCACCTGCACATCTACTTGGCATCCGCAAGAGAAAGAAAAATCCAGCCGAGACGTGCAGAGGGCCTATTAGGACCACGTCTCAGCGTGAGCGTGCACCACTCCCAGATGACCATGGGCCCACCTGTGACAAGACACCTTCCCACATGCCTCGACCCGCATTCCTAAAGTGCCGCTGCTCCCTGCTCTAGAGGGGGCTTCCATCAGATACCCTTGTGCAACTCCTACAGGATAGCGCAGCTTCCCATCCAGATCTCACTCACCAGGGTTAAGTCCTCTGTCATGACGAGAACGCAGCCCTTACGGCTCAATCTACGGCAACCTCTGGTGATGGCACAGCGGACCACGAGGGTACGTCTGGAATGTCTAGTACAGGAAACATCTGCATGGGTTTGAAAATCAGCTGGTCTTTGCATAGTATCTTATTTTTTTTTAAGATTTATTATTTTTTATTGCAAAGTCAGATATACAGAGAGGAGGAGAGACAGAGGAAGATCTTCCCTCCAATAATTCACTCCCCAAGTGACTGTAACAGCTGGTGCTGTGCTAATCCGAAGCCAGGAGCCAGGAACTTCCTCCAGGTCTCCCACGCAGGTGCAGGGTCCCAAGGCTTTGGGCCGTCCATCCTCGACTGCTTTCCCAGGCCACAAGCAGGGATGGGAAGTGGAGCTGCCGGGATTAGAAACGGCACCCATATGGGATCCTGGAATGTTCAAGGCGAGGACTTTAGCCACTAGGCCACCTTCTCAATTTCCCTCATACCACGGAGAAAGACACCCTTTTGCGCTGGCACTCTTCACTACAAATGCCACACACCGTGCAACCCAGAACACAAAGTTCACCAAGCGACAAGCACCTTCCTCTCTGGTGTGCTCTAATGTCCAGCACGCCCCCGTCCGCTTACCACACAGTCGCATGTTCCACACGGGGAATGGGTCTCTCGACGAGCAGCTCCAGTTGCCCCAGACACAAGATGCAAAGCAGAGAAACAAGGGACCAGCCTTTATCTGCACGCACTAAGTTGCTTTTATTAATCCAGAACGGCATGCTACAGATACTGTACAGCATGAACATTTATTCATTACAAAAATGGCTTCCAAACCATTAAAAATGAACTTGGAATAAGAGCATAAAACGGAACAGTAACATCACAACTGTTAGGAAACATTCAAAGTATTCACAAAAAATGTTATAGTTAGCATTTTTAATAAACCAGAGAAAATCGGAGACAGTTTTACAATCGCTTCATGTCAACTACAATGGCACGGAAGGAACAGGTCTCGGCTTTATACAGCATTTTGCAACATCAACATGCCTAGGTTTTTTTTTTTTATTTTTAAAGTTCGCTACCTACTTGTATGTAATATGCGTACATAGAAGTGGCAGCTGATTTTTCCTTTAAGAGTAATCTAATATACAGCATTTTGGCCCTTAAGGGTTTACACCTCTTCATTTAAAATGCTTTCTGGACAATCTGCTACCAAACACATTTTTGTTATAGGTGACATTAAAACTACATACAAATCTACCTATGTAACGTCACAGCAAAAACATGATGAACGAAAATTACAGCATCAAAAAGAGGGAGAAAGCTAAAGTCACTGAGAATTTTGGCACATGAAGTTTTGCACACAGTCAGTCCACGTCCTAAGGGCCCAGGACATCTGACTGGCAGTTTGAGGGGGGACATGGGGCAGTTCCCACAGTTGCTCAGACAGCGTCGCTAAAATTCCCTCCGCTACATTTTTCAAGTCTTGTTTGACAGAATGGCTTGTGGAAAGCAACTCTCGTTAATGCTACTGATCCTTTAATGCAGCTATTGATGTCCACTGGCGGCATCGGGGTGTCATACAGCAAAACAGGAAACCAAAATCAAAACCAAAACAAAAACAAACCACACACAAACAAACCCCCAAACAAAAAACCAAAAGCTCCAAAAGAGAAACGAAAAAAATATATATACACATTTTATATATAAACTTAAAAACCTTGTACAAATGAAGTGTTATATATAAGATGCTTATGCTAAGGGGAGGGGGGACTTTATACAGTTTCAAGAAAAAGGAAAACATATTTAAAAAGGGACGACATACAGGTACAACAAGCAATTTCTAAAGCAATAAATACTACTGGTCCGACAGCGTTGGTGACTCATTCACTGTTGAGTGGCCTCTCCCCACCCCCAAAAGAATGACACCTGGAGCAAGGTACATGAACACATTTTAGCCTTTTGTTTCTGTACATTTAAACAATAACAAGGAACATCACAATAAAAGTTGTTTCACATGGGGGGCGGGAAGGAAAAACAAAATAAGGTAATGGCACTGCAGTCGTGCGCTTGTGGTGTAAAAACCAGATGTAAAATGATTGGTTCGCAAGCTCATATTTACTACAAATAATACAGAACCAACTCCTTCTGGAGGGCTGCTTCAATCGCTTCCTCTTTTTTTTTTCCTTTTCATTTTTTTCAATCAGTCTTTTAAAACTAAGCTACCCAAACTACATAACAGTTATGTATATATATATTTATATATATATATTTTAAACGCTACAAAGACTTTCAACAGCTGTTGATAAAAATTTTGGTAGAATTATGAGGTTCTTCTCTCATCTACATATTTAAAAGGAGAAATTGAAATAAGAATGGGTCAAATATTGACCAATGAACTCGATAAACATCAACTCATGTAGCCACGTGGCACAAAATCAAAAGTACAAAACGAAACCTGTCGAGTAGGGGGGAGGGGAAGCAAAACCATTGGAAGCACGCGACAAAGAAGCTCAAAGTTACTCTAACGACTTGGTGACAAGGGAGAGAGGCTGGGGCTGGGTCCCGGCCAACGAGCTGTGGGAATGTAAGGAAGATGTTGACGGCTGTGCGAGCGATGACGAGGGGACAATGGGCGGCTGCAGGGCGGCAGGTGGCAGGTCCAGAGCCCCGTTGGGACAGAGGGCGGAGGCCTTGCCATGGGCGGCCTCGGCCAGCAGGAGCGCGGGCGGCGGAGGCATCATCGCCAGGTGGGCCAGGGGGTCAGGCTTCAGGGACAGCGAGAGCGGCTGAGTCTGTTCAGTCTGTGACTTGGCGTCTCGGGGAGGGGAGCCTAGCAGGTGCGGGGATGGGGGTGGCGAGTCTAGTAGGCTTCCATCTGAAGAGGGGGGGCTGAGGCAGCTGCCTTCACCTTGTATGTAGCGAACGCACTTTTTTTTTCTCCTAGAAACAGGGGGAGAGAGTTCTCTGTGAATACAGGGCAGAGATGCGAAGGCAGAGTTATCTACAACTCTAGGTCAAGTTCAAGTCCCTTACAGATGCCCCACATCGCGGCATGCCCAGTGGTCTGGAACAATTTAAAGTGGCGTTGCCCATCTGAGCAGCCTGTTCTGGCAAACAAAATATGAAAGAATTCAAACTCTCTAGCTGCTCCCCAGACATTCTCCTCTATGACCTCGTCCCCGGCCCCACCCCTGCCCAGGTGTTAAGTTGGCAGACGAAAGGGTGTCACCTGCAGACAGGTGCCACCAGTTTGCCAGAAAATGTCAAGTCCCAACAGAGATGAACTGAGAAGTTTCTTGGTTCCTCTTCTGGCCTAGACACATTCCCCCTCCTCCAATTCTCCCATCACGCTGCCTTTCCCCTCCCCACTCCATCCCAATGATTTGCGTGTGTTTCAAAGAGAAAGAGCTCCTTCCCCAGCCACCTCTTTATCAATAGGAAACTCTCAAAATTGCTGGTTGTGAAGCCCACACAGCTGAAGGCAGTGAGAGCGAGAGGCTTAAAGGTTTTAACCACCACCACCACCACCACCACCACCACCACCACCGTGAGCCTGCTGGCGCCCAGAGAGCTTGCGGGCTTGTCTGTTCAGAACCGCACCAAATCAAGAGATCAGAATCGGGGCGGGGGAGAAGGGAGGAGGAGGGGAAACGAAACTAAAACAAAAATGAACTCAAAAAACAGAAACCAAAAGAAAACCAAAAAAGAAAAGTAAAACCACCAAAAACAGGTAGAAGAGGATAAACAAAGGTGGGGGAGGGGGAAGAATAAGAAAAAAACAGAAAAATGATCCAAAGGAACGAGAATAACTGGTTGTATGGCCTGCAGGATGTGGATTAAATTCAGATCCAAACTCAAGTTTTGGTTTTGGCTTTTTTTGGGGGGGGGATGGGGAGGAAGGATATTGGGGGCTTGCCCTCCCGTGCCCCACAGGTGAGAGGGTTTGGGAGGGGAGACACGGGAATGGGTTGATGGGGGCACCCTGCCCTTGTTACTATGCTGAGGCTGACTCTCAAAGGGAAGGGACAAAGAAGAAACACCAGAGAATCTCTCAGGGGCCTCCCTGGTTTGGGGTTGCCGTGAGTGCTGCTGGAACCACCAAGACTCATTTTATTCCATATACGCAGAATCTGCCATCGTGCACCACCCATTTATGTAAGAAACATGAACGAGGGTTTCAGAGCCTCCCTTGCCGATCGGGAAAGGACAAAGTCAGGGAAAATCCACTCAAGCAATTGAGTGTGGGACCTCAGAGCCTCTCCTGCCATCACTCCCGGTCTGATGGGGTTGCCTTTGGTAGGAAAGGTGATCCTAAGATCGACCCCATTAATGCCATAAAAATCATGCAGATCCAGGGAAATTGCCCGTCAAAGGACCCTGAGGACACTGTCTGAGCCACGGCTGGCAGCGTGCCCGTCTGAGAACAGGTGAGTCAGAGCTGGCCAGCTTCCGACCCCTGGAGAAGACAGAGACACTGCCTCCGGGAAGGCTCCCTGCAGTCACCTGATGGCTGCACTTGGAAAGGAAGGGGGTGTATAGAGTTCTCCTTCTCTCTCCTGTGACTGCCCTGGTGCCCGGGGCATGGACTGGGCAAGATGGCAGGAGGGGATAGCAGGGGAAGGAAGAGGGGGAAGGGAACATGCTTGGTCCTCTCTGCCTTCCAGAGGCTAAGACCTATTGGGGTGAAGGCCTCAAGGGGACCTGTGGCCCCCCGGTTCAGAAGGAACTCAAGGGAGCAGGGGGCAGCCTCTTCTTGCCCTCAAATGTGGCAGCAGTCCTTTCTGTGCTTGGGACAGATTAAAGAAGACCAAGCCTTCTGCTCCTACCCCAGAAACCAAGATAAATAATGATGGCTCTCAAGAGTTTTAAACCACCTTAGCCTGCAGATCAAAACATGCTCCAAAAACTAGGATATCCATGCATTGTAATGATGGGGCAGGGATGGGGGAGGGTGTATGCACAACCAAGAAAGCAATGGGTGAGAAGAGAGAGGACAGGAAAGGGAGAAAAGAGATGGGGGAGGGGAACACACGTGGGGAGACAAGGGGGAGACAACACCAAGCAGCACGTCTCATGCTATGTGAGCGCAGAGCAAAGAAAGGCGGGAAAATAGCTTGGTGGGCTCCGAACAGAGTCTGGCTTCAATGTCCTGCAATGCAGCACCAATGGCACCCCGGGTGGTGAGCCAGGAGCCCCGACTGGCCAGGAGCATCTCCTGAGCTAGGGGGCATGTTGTACCAGGGACAGAGACTGAAGACAGAACCCAGCACCTCCCAGCCTATGGGTGACAGGCAGTTGGAACATAGGTTTCTGACAAGTCAGAAAATGCCTAGGCTTGCACCTTGCCTGCTTTCTTTATTTTTCAAAAGCACATTTTATCTTATTGATTTTAGCATGAAGCCAGTCGTGGCCGGGGCAAAGGTCGAGGGGGGAAGGGACAGGTAACTTCTGGTACAAAACTCTGCCTTGTGTCACCACCTTGTCACTGGACTCCTCCTGGGCAGGGGAGCAATTAGTCAGAATTGCATTCTTAGCTGCCACAGGTTTCTTCTGAACTCCCTTGTCCATTTTGGACCTGTGCCTTTAAAGGCCAGTGGAAATGCATATTCTAGCACCTTGACAATATGAAAACCTATGGGGGAGAACATGATCAACGGAACACTCTTAGGGTGCTGTGGCTGGAAAGCAAATTGGGGAGCCCCTGTGGATTCTTATGGCATTGATAAGGCTGCCGGAAGTCAGCTCCCTCCACCAAGCTGCATGGAGGTAACTATTTCCCCAAACACAAAGAGGCTATAAAGGCGTGGGCTTGGCAACCTTCCCCCCAAGCTCCCCTCCTTAAATATCAAGAAGATTCTGGTTCTAGAGCAAGACTCCATCACACCCGTGGGACACTTTTTCCGGTCAATGTCAGCAATAACTTCCAGAAAAGGGGGCGGGGTGGGAAGGAAGCCACGTGACTTGCAGCATTTACTCCCAGAACAAACTGGAGTCATGGAGCAGTTCTCACTAGCACGAGCAGAACCAACCCACCAGGGTGCCTCAGCCAGCCTCTCAGGGAACTGGTGGGCACCTGGACAGGGGGAAAAGTCCTCTCCCGCGAGTGGTCCCTGTGGTGAGCTACCCAACTGCGGGAGTCAGGACCGGGCACCACAGCGCACATAGAAAATGCCAACAAAGCCACTGCCTGCAGAAACAGAGCAGTCTGGCTCGTACTAAGGAACCCCCTGAATGGCCTTCATCAACTTGGTCACAAAATTCCCTTCCACTATCCAGAGAAGGCTCTCGGTGGAGGAGGGCAGGGGATGACTGCACTTGAAGACATCTGTCACACATCCTTGGGAACTCTGCCATCTCACACAGGGACCAGGACGTTCCTTCCTGCTCTTCGCGTCCACCGAAGACCTTGGGTCCCTCACTCCACAGGCAGGGGGCCCGCCTGTAGTGGTCCCGCTCCAAAAGGACCCTAGAGCCCTGTCTGTCCTAAGGCTCTGGCGTGGTGAAGGCAGGGCATGTCACCAATCCCTCGAGCTAGCATCTGAGAGGGAGGGCGGAGACACAGGAGACTCGGGGGCATGCACATGATGGGATGAACATCTGATCTAACGTCTAGACACGGAGCACATGGCAAAGGCATGGAGGAGAGGGACACGTGACAAGGGAAGCATTACAAACAGGGAAGCGTGTCTGGGGGAGTTGAGATACCTACCATCATAATATTCCAAATTCAAAGACTGCTTGTATCAGAACAAAGAAACAACAAAATTTAACCAAAGGTGGTCATTAAAGGAGAGGAAATGGAATGGGATTACTAAGGGGATTCCCTCCACCAGGAAGGCAGTATTGACACCTTCCCAGAGTGGAAGGAAACCTATGGTGGAACATAGCTGCTTATATGGGACGCTTCTGAGTGTTCTGATTGGATGTGGAACCCATGCTCCACATACACACAAACGCACGCACACACATACACAGATGCATGTGTGCGTGTGTATGTGAGTATATATGTGTGTGGGTTTCTAGTGCTGCAGGCCTAGCAATATGCAATGGGTGACTGCTTGCAGCCCTTCAAAGCTGGTGCATGCCATTCAATGCCACGCTTCTTTTTCAGCACTGTAAAACAAGGTTGGCTAACCAAGCTCCTCTGAATAGAGACGTGTGTGGTTTTTAAACATGATGCAAATCTAAAGAGGAGGAGGAGGAGGGAAGAAAAAAAATAAATAAATAAAGCCTGCCCCAGAGCACTTCTCCGAGTGACATGAGTCCATGTGCAGGGGAATGCTGTCGCTGCCAACCTTGCACTTGCTCACTCAGCCCCTGGGCAAGGGTGGTCCTCTACGCTCAGGCTGTGGGCCACCGAGCTGCTCACGGGACAGGGGCCAGCGCCTGTCCTCTATCTAAGGCCATAATCTCAGTCCCACCACCAGGGGTACATTATTCCAAAGATTGGGGGGAGCTGGGGGTGTAACTGCAGGGGAGAGAGAGAAGCGAAAGCTGGGGCCAGAGGGAAGGACATGGCATAAAATCAGCGAGGGAATCTTTAAGAGTTAGGATCATTAGTCATTGATGCCAGTGAGGGAAGCAGACGGGAGCAAGGTCAAATCGAATGGTCACACGCTAAGGCAACGGAAGGACAGAAGGCTGATTTTCCCAGAGGCCTCGCAGTGGAAGTATACCTGCACGGCTTGCACCATAAAGTCTGTCTGTCAAGCCCGAACAGTGCCCGACACTTCTTTGGAGTATTTGCATCTGTTAGCATAAGGTAAACACAAAAAAATACAACACAATGGTGGGTTGTGCGAGCTCAGTTGGACGTGAACTCTCAGCTACGGCTGACTTCTCTTCTACATCTCCTCGGCACTACACGGTAACCATCCCCTCACCGAGCACGTGAAAGGGGAGGGCTGCTAGGAGTCAAACGCAAAACAAAACAGAACAAAATAAAACGAGAAAACACGCACACAAGAAAACAACAATCAGAAACCAAACATCAACAATGAAAACCAAAACAACAAAACCAAAAAAAAAAAAAAAGAGCCAAAATAATCATAATCATAATCATAATAACCTAAAAAACAAAAAAACAAACCAAACCAAAAACCAGAAAGAGTAGAGAAGGGAAGAAGGTGACGTCAGTTGCTTCTACCTAGGCCAGGAGGACCGTCCCGGGCTGTCCCAGGAAGGGGTGGGGGGTTGGCAGGCAACATTCCCCGGGAGAGGGCGCTGGCGGGGGCTCGCTGGCACTGCCCCGGGAGGCACGGACGATGCTGTTTTACAGTGGCATTTTGGCAGCAGCAGTGGGAGCAGAAGCACGTCCCTTACAGAGCCCGTCTGCTCGGCAGTGTCCCATTCCCTCGTGTCCCCTAAGATCCACACACAGAGCTACAAAGCAACAGGCCAGAGAGGGGGAAGGGATGGCAGAGACCAGCTGCAAACCAGCACAGCGCATCTGGGAGCTATACACACCTGCAAGGGCCGCACCAGTTATTCTGTTGATCAAGGCCAAAGCGCGCTCGGCATTTCTTAGGAGCGCTCAGGTCTGAATGAGTTCAAGAGAGAAGCGAGCAGAGGTGGGAGAGAGGGAGAGGGAGAGAGAGAGAGAGAGAAAGGAGAGGAGGAGAGAGGGAGGGAGGGGGGGAGAGAAAGATACAAATAAGAAAAAATAAAAAAATAAAAAAGGGAATAAATCAATGACCTGGTTACTAATTTGCAAAATATTGACGTTCTTTTTTTAAAACTTTCTTTAATTAAAAAAAAAGGTAAAAATCACATTCTTATTAAACTTGTGAAATTAGCTGTTGCAAATAAAGCTGCAGTATCCCTTCTTTAAGGACTGTCTCTAGATTCAATTTGAGTTGACAAAAGGAAGTTAAAATCCTGAAGAACTTGTCATTAATTTTTATCATTTAATTTTGCTTTCCCCCTTTTTTTTTTCTCCCTCTCTCAATTTGTTTTTTCGTATAGAAGAAAATAAAGCGGAGGGAATTAAGTTTGTAACATGCTCTTTTCTTCTCAGATTACAATAGTTTTTAAAAAAGGAAAAAAAAAAAAAAACCAAACCACAAATAAAAACAGAACAAAATGAAACAGAAAGAAATAAAGAAAGAAAAGGGTTGTGGTACTGGGATATTGCAGCTTTTGGACTGTTCACCTTTTCTGTATTATCCCTTTTCATTAATATTAAGAGAGGAACAGATGAGGATAGCACGGCTGTGTGGATGAGCTGTTAGTGGGGAGTTCACAGCAGCAGATACGCAGGCACAGTCAGTACAATGCTAGTGGATTTGCAAATTATGAGCAGAAAAGCAAAAGGAAGGGAAAAAAAAACTAAAATAACAAAAAGCAAAGGAAAAAATAATCATACTGCGGATGCATGCTAGCGTGAGAAAACTTAGTGGGAGCGATGAAAAAATGCCATTAGATTAAGGAGGTTTATTACTGAATTCCTTCCATTGGCGTGGATTTTTTTTTTTTTACCAGTCTCTTTTAAAGAAATACTGCATATTCAATTTGCACAGTTAGTTCAACTCTAAATCACTGTCATCACTGCTTAAACAACTTTTATGGGAAAAATAAATAAATAAACGAAACGAAAGTTACAACTTAAAAAAAAAAAAGCAACCAAAGCAACTGAAAAAAAAATTCTACTGAAACATACAAAACCGTGTAGATGGTCATTTTAAAGAATGTTTAAATGTCATACGTGTTTAATGTTAATAAAACTATCATGGCAAGAAAAACTAAAAAACAGTTTATCAACTATTTTAATGACTCAAAATGACATTAGCACCTGTAATCGGAGGAAGTGAAAGGCAAGGATTTAGGAAACATTCGCTGTGTTCTGAAAAAAAAGAACAAATTATACAAAGCCTTCAAAATGGTTGTTTGATTGTCAAAGCCTGGTCTGAGATTGCCTATGCAGTATTTCTAATTTCCTCTACAGAATGACAAACCTCCTTAATTTAAATATGGGGTGCAATTTACCACTGTAAAGGCATGCATCAGAACATTCAGGAACAGCCCGTTAATACCAAACGCTCACACGTACCCCCTCCTGCACCCCTGAGCCCCCTTCGCACCCCTTCTCAGACACATTCAAAACAAGCAGACGGAATCAACCCAGCCTAGGCATGCCTACCGCTGGCTCTCCAGTTACAGGCTTTGCAGAAGTTATTTAAAAACACATTCCACTAGAATTACAATGTGCTTTTCATGCAACAATGAATGTTACTAGCTTTAAAAGGGCAGTCATGAAGCAATTAATTAAAATGCATAAACAAACAAACAAAAAAGGCTGGCTAAGATGGGCTCCCACACAATGTCCTGGCCTTGAATGTCTCCTGCCTGCCCCAGATGGGTGCCTAAGGTCAGGGAGCGGTCCTCAGCCCACTGTGCCTTCCTCCATCCTGAGTCACTTACCATTCGTCTCTCCCGGCTGTTTGTCCCTTTTCCTCTTCTTCTTCTTCCCCTACGTGAACAGATAAAATAGGCAATTATTTCAAGAAAGGCAGCAGGGCGGGAGTCCATCCACATCCACCCTCACAGTCTGTCTGACCTCTAACCCTTCAATGCACATGCGCTTGAGCTGGGCTCTAACTGGACATGAACAGGTACCTTCATGGCGTGAAGCCAATAAACAAGGAAAGGCTCATCTACTCACAGATCTCCCGCCATTTTCAAACCTGACCAGGGCATCCACTTACACAAATGGGAAGGAAGGGGGAGAGCTGGAAAGAACCAGGCGGGGAGGAGTGGAGACAGCGTTGGCAGCAGCCTGGGGGCCTGCCCCGGAAAACAGGTGCACATAGCCATGGGCCCCCGGCAGGGAGAGCCACTCAGCCTGTGCCACTCGACTAGCCATCTGTCCCTCTTCCACAGGAAGAGAACAAAAGCTTTGGGTGGGTTTTTCACAGAGCTCTAGTGCAGGCCTGGCTTTTAAAAGGCAAAGACAGTAGAGTTGAGCTAGGAATCATCTGGGTTCCTGGCACATCTGCTGGGTAGGGATGGCCCCTCCACTCTCATCTTACACAGATGCTACTATGCGGACAGTGGGCTACCTCATCATAAAACCACCAAGGGCTCACTGACAAAATGTCACTGAGATGCACCTGCCAAACCTCACAGCCAACCTACTTGCAACACGCTTGGCACACCTAACCAACCTGCAACTGTGCCATCAAGCACACAGACCATTTTATAACAGTGTTGATTGGGTCAGGTTGTATTTGGGGTATTTTATGGAGAGTGATGGAACATTTGCATGGTTCTGTTAACCACTGTGAAGTTAGAAAACTCAGAGGCTTGACCATCCAAAGCTGGAGGAGGGAGGCATCTGTGTTAGGAGCAATGGTGATTTGTGGAGCATGTCCACGCTACAAGGCTCACCTGTGAGTGTGCTACACAGACTGGCTCTTTTCCTCCACCCTGCAATCTAGTCAACTATGACTATTCCCATTTTACAGACTGTTCAACTGGCCCAGGAAGCTAGGTAACTTTCCTGATCCTGCACAGAACTCAAGCACAGAATGCTTGCTCCTCTGACTAAATTGTGTCCCCCACCCCCCCTCGCTTGAAAAGCAGAGATGCACACAGGAGATCTTCCATCTCCCTATTCATTCCCCAGATGCTGACAACAGCTGGGGCTGGGCCAGACAGGAGTCACAAACCTGGAATCAACCTGTGTCTCCTATGGGAGTGGCTGGGACCCAAGTACTCGAGCTACCAACAGCTGCTCCCCAAGGTGCACCTTAGCAGGAAGCTGGGACCAGAAGCTAGGTCAGGATTCCAGACCAGGTGCCTCATTAGAGGATGCACAGGTCCCTAAAGCTGTCATTTTTTTAAATTAAAAATTTATTGGCCTTGATATGGTTCTGTAGGTACAGGCCTTCGCTTGAAGAGTCTTACAGCAAGCCAAGATCAGCACCAAACACAAAAGGTTCCTAGTAGCTACAACACTTGAGAATGGGCTGGCTCCATAGGAACCCTCAGCAGGAGGATGTCACAGAGCCCTTGCTCCATCCGGGGCCTAGGACACCTGAAAAGTAACTTTGTCCACATGCTTCTGTTTGGATATGCTCCTTGGTAGGTCATTTCTTTGGTTTAAATGCATTTTTAAAAAATTTATTTCAAAGGCAGAGCTACAGGAAGAAGGTGCAGATAGAGTGTGTGTACACAAAAGGGGGGGGGGAAGTGGCAGGAGGGAGGGAGGGGGTAAGAGAGAGAAAGAGAGAGAGAGAGAGAGAGCGCGACAAATCTTCCATCTGCCATCTCACTCCCCTAATGGCCACAAGAGCTGGGGCTGTGCCAGGCCAAAGCTAGGAGCTTAGGGCTTCTTCAGGGTCTCACATGTGGGTGCAGGGGCCCAAGCACTTGGGTCATCTTCTGCTACTTTCCTAGGTCATTCATGAGCAGAGATACAACCTGCTACACTCCAACACCAGCCTCTTGAAGGAGCTTTCAGTGCCTTGTCATCAGGCCTGAGTCTCACGAGCCTGCAGCACCTTGTTTTCATGTGTGTGGCTCCTCCATGTCAGGAGCCAAGTGCTGCCTGGCTGGCTCGGGGCAGGCATGAGGGCCTTCTAGTCTCAGGTGATTCAGACAGCTCAAGTGGAAGCTCAACTGGGCAGAACGCGCCCAGGACCCAGGGCTGTCGGCAGCTACACACACCAAAAGGGCACACACTGCTTGCCCTTTTCTAGTCCTTGCAATCTATTTGGAAGGCACCCAGAGGCTCCCTTGTCCATGGGAAGCCACAGGTGGCTGAACAAAGTACTATTTAGACACAAAGCTCTTGGAGAACAGAGACAAGTGGTAGCAGAAAAAAGAGAGGAAGAATAGTTCCCACAAGTTAGTGAAGATGGGGGTGAGTCTTAAGGGAGGTAGACACCCCACTGCCTGTCCACCAGAAACTAAAGAAAGAAGAGACCTTGGAGTAGGTATTTTAGATTGGTGGGTTATAAAACCCGTATTGGTGTCCCGTATTAGTGCGCCTGGAACTGAGCTCTAACTCCAGTTCCCAGCTTCAGCTTCCTGCTAATGCAGACCTGGGAGGCCAATTACGGCTCAAATAATTCATTTTTGCCACTCACATGGCAGACCTGCGTGTGCAGCCGCAGACCTGCGTGTGCAGCCGCTGGCTCTAGCCCAACTCCAGCCATGACAGCATCTGGTGAGCGAACCAGGGGATGGGAGCTCTGGCTGCCTCTGTTGCTCAAGACCCAAATGGGACTGTTTTTACTTAAATTCTGCTTTTGTTCCCACTTGGCTAGAAGAGCAGAATGTGAAAAAGGCCAGGAGTCAACTCAGGAGGAATTTTCCAAAAACCCTATCTGGACTTAACAACAACCAGTTATTATCTGAACTCCTGTGTTGAGTTGCATAACAAGAAATACTAACAGGTTTCCACCACAGTCAAATCCACAAAAGCCTCAATTCTCTGATTCTTGCCCTCCTCCTCCCACCCCCGACTGCTTTCTGGGACACAGAAGGAAGGAGGGAGGGAGCGTGTGTTCATACGCAGGTGCAGCAGGTTCTTCTGAAAGGAACATTCTAAGACCAGATAAACTTCCACCACATCTATATGCTCAAGTCCCAAGAGTCCCTTTACAACGCCACCAAGTTACCTTTGGGACAGAAAACGGAGCCAAAGACACTGCGGGTGCCCTGCAGACCTTGATTTTATAGGATGCCTCTGGTGACACTCTGTCTAAATGGCTTTTAGGCAGGGCCAAAACGGCTTTCTTTTATGGCTCCCACAAAGCCAGGCCTGTGTGTTCGTGGCGCTCTCACCCCGCACAACTCCAGGGGGCACCATTCATAGAGTGCAGAACAAATGGTGTGCATCCTCTGCAGCTGTGCCATGTGTGCCCTGCACGGCTGTCCGTGAAGGCCCCTTGACCGACCTCTGGGCTTACACTGAGGCAAGAGGGGATGGGCAGGCTCCCTTCACAAAATCCAATGCCATCTTGTTAAAAATTTGGGCAAAGCAAGAGGTGTGCCATCCCTCTCAAGGACTTGAGTTCATGGGCTAAGGCAGGACAAGAAGAAAACAGCAGGTTTGTGGCAGGAGAAATGTGGGAGTCAGAACACGGGCAATCCTACTGTCTTCAGAAACCTATGAGAGGAACTTGGGCAAAGCCTGCAGCCAGCACAGAGCTCACCAACACAAACCATTCTCTACCCCTATAGGGCCCACACCTGTTTCCTCCATCTTTCCAAAGGACAACTTCCTGTGGCTGTTTCCAGGAGTATTTTCATCACACCCCTCTCTGGATGAACTGGGCTGCCAACTTCTGTGTCATATAGCATAAGGCAACACCTTTGTTTTTCTTCTTTTGAAAGGTGCAGGCCCTGCCAGAACTCTCATGAAGAAGGAAACTCCTTCCTTCCAGCTGTAACCCCTAGCCTTCCTGCTGAGGCCACTCCACACTGCCAACAAGCTTGGAGAACCTCATCTGGAATTCAAGTTTGTCCAGGTCAATCTTATAGCCCCATCTCTTCTAAAATGTGGGCAAGCAGGTATGGACAACACCAAATTCATGCCATAGGTCCCAAGCTGGAACACTGGACACCAGCTTCCTCTCTCTTCCTTGAATAACTGACATGTGCTGACAGCACCAACTGGAAGCCAAGGTGAGATGCTGCAGTTGGGGTACAGGCAGGCTGTGAACAGGCTCAGAGGCAGGCAGGACTGAAGGGTGCAGAGGCCTGGTTCAGGTGGGCAGTGACCCTGCTCTCTGTCCACACAGACACACACAACATCTCTGGGACAAAAGTTCTACAGAGAATGATCCACCTACATAGTTATCCCGTGCGGACCAGCCTGGGTAGAGCTGCATGTGAAGCTGTCGCTCCTTCCGGGCCAGCTCGTAGTATTTCGCTTGTTCTTCTCTGGACAGAGCGTGCCACTGCAGGGGACAGTGGGGTGTGGGGAGAGAAAGATGCACAACAACATCACAACCTACACCACAGTGGTGAGGACCACAAATGACGCTTCCCCTCAGCCTGGGTCCCTCTGGGAGGGGGCAGTCTGCACTTCCCGTGAGCTGGCAGGGTGGGTCCTGGTCATCCATGTGGCTTTGCCCCCTATGGTCTGTGCCGTGGGGGGAGGAGAGGACGCAGCCTGAATCGGGGATGACCAGTCGAGAACTCCAAGGAAATGGCGACAGAAACATCTTTGCCCTGGGGGCCCACAGCCTCCTGGGCTGTCCTTGGGCTTCCCTTCCATGGAAGGGGTCACCTACCCTCCGCCCCAGGATCTGGTTGATGGCCGCGCTTTCTTTCAATGTGCACTCGGCAACGACCTTGGCTCTCATCTCCTTCATGTACAACATGAATGCGTTAAGAGGCTTCTTTATGTGGGGCTTCTTCTTCTCTTCTTCCTTTTTGGAGTCCTGATGCTTTCTGCAGAAGAAGCCCAACAGACAGACAGCCCTGTCAACCACCCCTAAGCCTCACTCCCACTCTTCTCCCCTTTCCCCTGCCCCCCTCCCCACCCCCAAAATAGAAGAAAACTAGCATGGGTGTGTGTGTGTGTGTGTGTAAGTGAGTGACAGGGTGAGGGTGAGGGTGGAGGCACAAAGCTTTGCGATCATGTCCTCAAGTGTCAGAAGCGACGAGGTATCCCAAGGCAGAGGGGAGGGTGTACTGGTGCTGGCTCCACCTCAGCACTCACAGGAGGCAGTCAGCAATGTTGTGACTTCTAGCTGAGCAATTGCAAATTCAGATACAAACAGACTTCTAGTCTAAGCCACAGTTGTAACAGCCAGCAAGACCCACCATCAAGTCCTTCATAGTCTTGATCCGGGAGCCCGTGGGTCTCGTGCGAACAATGATTGCTGATGTCAGACCATGCGAGGCCAGCCCCAGGCACAGCACCAGCAGCCCATGGCCTGAAGTTCCCGATCCGCAGCTGGCTGCCCACCACACCTCCCAGGAAAGCAGGCCCAAGGGTGGCACTTACGAGCTGTGGAGTGAGCCGACGTCACTCTGGGAGGATTCCTGTTTGACTGTTGGTGTGACTATGGCTGGGTGGGGAATGCCAGTGGTGTGTAGAGTGTGATGTGGTGGGACCATGTGGGGAGGGAACCTGGAAGACAGAAAGCTGTGTAAATCGTCAGAATCAAAATGAATGAATGAGGAGGGATGAGTACACACAATTCAAAAAAAAAAAAAACCTAGCACGTGGCACTCACATGAAAGTAACCCAAGGCATATGAAACCTGTCGGCATTAATTAGCGACAAATTAAACATAATGATTCTTATAATGCCATTAAAGCCAATGTTCTCCTTCATTATTGCTACTGACATGAGACATTACAATTTTTAACATCTTTAGCAAGAGACAAATTCAACTGATGTACTTGGGCGGAAAGGCGGGCTTGGACTACCTGCTGGAGCCCCACGTCCACGAGTGTTGGGAAGATGATTACAGACAGTTTCCCATGTCCCAGTCAGCTCCGAGGTGGAAGGGAAAATCCTGTGCTCCCACTGACAGTTACATGAAACATTAACGTGGCTGAACCAGGCACATGTACCCTGACAGTGCTGTGTGTGGTTCCTCAGGGTGATGGCATGCCATGGAAGCTGTTATTTTCCTCCTGTTGCTGAGCCCATTGTTGGACAGGAATGGGAGATGGTGAGACAGAACCATGGGGGGGAAATGCAAGTATTTTCCCATTTGGTTCCCATCCTGAGTCCAGTTTTTTTTTTAGGTCAGTTTGTTTCACTATGGGGAACGACCTGAAAACCACACTCAACCAAGCTTTAAATCCTGCCTATATATCCTTTCTCCCAAGTCACATTTATTTAATATACATCATTAAAAAGACTTCTCTATGAGAAGCAAGGTGGTAAAAGGAAGAAATGATACTGGCACTGTTCTTCAGGCCCTGAACTCACATTTCCAAACCATGCAAATTAGCCGGGATACAAACAGCTAATTTCACACAATTCTTGGCCCATCTGGAACACAAAGACAACTGGAAGGAACAAATGTCTTTCAGAATTTGGGAAAGTCTTGGGAGTCACCTGACTTGCACTGGGTTTGCAGAATCATCACTCTTACAGGCATGTGTACCACCCAAGGGAGGGTGCACACCAAAAGGGCTGAATCGCACAAGAGACCACAATGCTGCCTCCTCTCCCAGCCTGGCCCAGTCACTGGGGTCAGCATCAGGGGAACCTGCAGCCTCACAGCTGCTACTTTTCTTTCTTTTTCTTTTGTTAAGATTTTTCTTCTTTGTTTTGAAAGAGTGATAGAACAAGAGATCTTCCATCTGCTGCTTCACTCCTCAGATGATTGCAATGGTCAGGAATGAACCATGTGGATAGCAGAGCCCTGAGTCCTTGAGCCATCTTCTACTGCTTTTCCAGACACATTAGCAGGCAGTGCTACCATGGGATGCTGGCCAGGACCGCTATGCCAAAACATTGGCTTCAACTATTTTTGGCAGGAGGGAGAGGGGGTGGTTAAAGATTTCTTTATGTTGAAAGTTAAAGTTACAGGCCCGGCGCGGTAGCGCAGTGGTTGAGGTCCTCGCCTTGCATGCCCGGGATCCCATATGGGCACTGGTTCTAATCCCGGCAGCCCCGCTTCCCATCCAGCTCCCTGCCTGTTGCCCGGGAAAGCAGTCGAGGACGGCCCAAAGCTTTGGGAACCTGCACCCACGTGGGAGACCCGGAAGAGGCTCCTGGCTTCCGATCGGCATAGCATCGACCGTTGTGCTCACTTGGGGAGTGAATCATCGACGGAAGATCTTTCTCTCTGTCTCTCCTCTCTGTATATCCACCTTTCCAATGAAAAAATAATAAAAATAAATCTTTAAAAAAAAAAAAAAGAAAGTTAAAGTTACAGAGAGAGAAGGAAAAACAGAGAGTAAGAGCATTGTCTTAATCTAAACCAAAAATGGTCCAACACAGCATCCATCTAAGAAATGGCAACCTCATTTGCCCTTTTGATGGTTTCTTCTGGTGGGAACTCGGGGTTCTAATGAGGTTTTATCAAGGCAATAATTTCAAACAGAATCCCATTTTCATTACAATTTAAAGTTAGTGTGAGTTGTACATTATGACGAGGTAGAGTATGATCATTTGCTACATGAGCACAATGTGCAAGGAACATCGGGACGGTGAACATTTTCATCGCTGTAATCCCTGTGCTGGGAACACTGTGCTCTTCCGGTTTCTTGCACAATTGGCTAAGGAACATGCTATGGTCACTCTCCCTGACACAGTAGCACTTCCTCCTCTCCTCAAACCAGATGTCCGTGTCCCAAACAAGTCCTCTATGCCCTCCCTGCACCTTTCCCAGCCCCGCTCAACTCTGTGCACTTACGGGGGCCTCAGGAGGCACCTACGTCCACAAGTTTCTTTCCAGATGTGGACTGAAGGTAGTTTTCCATTGAGCCAATGACACAAACACTCAGTTCACAACATTAAATTGAAGCACCAACTGAGTTTACCCAGACCAATAGAGCAAAAACAGGAGCAAGGAGCACTATCCATTTCCAAGTGCGGCCCAGAGCCACAGGCTGCCCCTGCCTAGTGCCTTCACAACTCCAACTTTGACGACAGTGACTGGATTCTTTAATAAGAACCGTGCAAGATGCTCAGAAAGGAGGAGAAAGGGCGAGAGAGAGACAGGTGGGGAAAAAACCTAAAAGCCAACCTTTTTTCCTCGAAGAAATGAAATCTGGAAAAGCAAGAGCTTCAGAGGCACCTGGGCTGCCACGTGATGCCCTGCCCCTTCTCACAGCTCAGAGGCCTCAGAGAAAACCCAGGCCAAGGGCATGTGCTCCTGGGAGGCCTTGGCTGAGGGGCTGGGTGGAGTGGCAGCTCTCATGCGGTTTAATGGCTTGACATTCCTCAAATACAGGTACTCCATGTTGCAGAGTGAGAGGATGGATACAGGTGGGAGAAGGAGATGGAGGGAGTGATGCAAGTGTGTGTGTGTGCCCATGTGAACATCTGTACATGCCAAATGCCACAGGCAGACAGCACAAGGGCAACACGCTCTGAGCGGGGGACAATCTTCCGGCAGAGCCACACAGATGCAAGACTTCCCGCTCCCCGGCCTGTGCTGGGGGGAGGGGGTGGGCAAGGATGTGTGGCAGAGGAAGAAGAGAATGTGCTAAGTGCACCTCTGCCTCAGAAATCCCTCTCTGCAGACAACTACTTCGCGAAATGCAATAAACACCCTAAAAATTCTAAGCAGCTCATTAGGTACCCCCGTCTGCTTTTATGGCTCCGAGCCAGAATATAATGATGAACCTTAACTTGTTAAGGACAACTAATTTTTGTTTCTGGCTGTCTCAGGGGCTTCTCTGGTGCTCACTCGCCCTCTCCTTCACTGTTGACACATTTCTGTTAACTGCATGTCATCTGCCGGCCTTGATTTTATGCACAAGCAGTAGGATGCATTTTCCTGTGCAACAATCCGGCTTTGAGTTGCATTAGGTTTGTCATTATTCTCTCATTTCCCCCCTTGCACTTGTAACATTTCATCTCTCCCTGCCTTATTTTTTGTGAGCCACGGTGCACCCACATTATGGTTTATACATGATCTCGCTCCCTTTGAAGCCGGCAGATTTCAGAGCCCGCTCTCGTCGGGAGAAGAGCCTTGCACCAATTTAGCAGGCTGAGGGCCCGGAGCTCCGACATCTCAATCTAAAGGGGGTCACAGGGTGGCACAAGTGAGTGTCAGCGAGAGCTGTTTAATTGCCAATCTAGGCTTCTCCATGGTGTTTAAAGTATAATGACCCATCACTTAATTCTGAGAAGTCCTGGCCCTGCTGCTGAATAGAATGAATATCAAAGGGTGTTCTGGAACAGGGCAAGCTGCCTACATTTGCTGTAACTGCCATAAGTATAATAGACCCATACTTCTGTCGTGCCATTACCACAATAATGTATTTAATTTGCTGTATACGCTTTTTAACTAGCTACCTTTCATAAGGCCTACCTGGGGAATCGGCCGCCTGGCCCCTCCCCCCGCCACACACCTCAATCCCCTAACCTTTCTTCTTCCCATGCCTGCCTTTCTTTCCGTCACCTCCTGCCCACCTAGGAACCACCTGCTCACCTCCTAATGATAATTCAATCGATAAGCTTAACCCCCCCAATCCCTATCCTGCGATTACTTCACCACTTTTAACCTCTGGAACGCACCGAATAAACAAACCTGACAAATAATCAGGTGCAACCCAGCGATGCCGGGGTGAAGGGGAGGATGGGAGGAGTGCGCCGTGGACTACCAGCTGCTCCGAGTGGAGCCGGCCCTCCTCCCAGGAGACCCCTCCTCCTTTCCCAGGCTCGGCGAGGCTGTGCTGATATTACATAATGGGCAGAAACCAGGGAACGTAGCATTTTCCCGCCTCACTTGTACTGGCGTGGATTATGGATGCGGACAATGTGCCACGTGTAGGACATGGATCTTTCTAATTACACGATACCCATGGCATGATCACCAACGCCAGACAGGCCACATTTCCTTTTCTCTTAAAAGAAGCAATTCCTATTCTTTCTCCCACCAGAAGCCACTGCTTTGTAAACAGGAGAAGAGGCATCTTGGCCCATCTTTCCAACCTGCTCTCTGGTTTTGGCTTTCCACGTTGCCCACAAAGATTGGGGGGGGTAGCATCCCTGCCTTGTAATGCATGCTAATTTAATTATGGGCCATCATCAAAATGGATTGGCTGTTTCAGCCCATCAGGAAAGTCTAAACCTCCACCGATTTAATTAACTTGACTGAAAATCAGATGAACAGAAAATAAAACTATCATTAGGAGCAATTAGTGACTACTTAAACATACTGCTGCCAACCAGTTTGCAAATAAACTAGCAGTCGCTGAAAAATTAGCCAGAATTAATTAGGGGGAGGAAACGAGAACACGGGGATGTGTGTGCAGGCCACACATGTACTCATACTGACGGCTTTCAATACAAGCACACATGAATGCAGACGTACACATGACCTTTCGTTTAAATGTTCAAAGATGCAGAGCCACACAGGCCAACACAATAGCCACCAGCCTCACGTGACTAGTCTGAATTGAGATGTGCTGGGTCAGATTAGGAAAAGTACAAAAAAAAAAAAAAAAAAAAAAAAAAAAAAAAAAAAACGTGAATATTTGGTAAAAGTTGGATGATGACGATGATGTCGAAGCAGTATTTTGGTTTACAGTTCTGGCTTGAGTATAAGAATATGCCACTATGAATAATTTCACTATTAAACTGGAAAAAAATGGCCACTATAAAATTTAAACTTTCCCATGTGGCTCCCATCATGCATGTCTCTACTGAAAGGTGGTGGGGGAGGGGTGGGTATGGTGAGGGGGGTGGGGTGGGATTGGCAAGCAGAGAATGCCCTTTGTTTTGACTTTGAGTCAGAAATTAAGCTTGAAAAGGTCAATCATCTATGCTAATACTCCTCTTTGTGTAATAATAAAACCATCTCCACAACAGAGAAATGAAAGCACCCCACACCTCGACAGCTTCTTCCTGCCACCTTAATTTCTTAAAATATGCTGTTCTATCGATGGACTCAAAACACCTCGACCCAGAAAGACATCGCTTACCTTGAGAGTTCAGGGCAATGTGTGAGTCTTTTCCAGAAATAAAGCTTAGCATCCCATGGGCTCTAGTGCCCCTCTTAGAACTAAACATGGCCTTAGCCCCCAGGTGGCCCCACAGCCACCAGAACACTAGAGAAGTTACTAGTGGTCCCAGGCCTTGGAACTCACCTGGACATGGAAGCATTGACGGTCAGAGCTGTGGGGTAGGGGTGTCTGAACCCTCCTGTCGTGATGGGGTACACGGGTTGACCTTGCCTACAAAGAAAGGGGTACAAAGTCAGAGACAGGCTACGAGGTCTGGAGGAGTGGGGGGGACAAGAAAAAAGAAGAAAAGGGAAAAGTTCTCTCTGCATAGTAAGCTTTATTCTCATTTGATCAGAACAAAAATCTTGGGGATTGTACAGGAAGGATCAAAGGGAAGAAACACAGAACAATTTGAATGCCATAAATCTGATAGGAATGGCTAATTAAATTTTATAACCTCTGCTTATGTCAATAGAGACCCTCTCCCCAAGCTGAAACTAGGTGTTTTGTTGTAATAATTAAAGGCGAAGTCTCGCTTGCTTTAATGGAGCCATCACACTAATTGAGGGCTACACATCCAAAGGAAAACAATAATGAATGTAAATTTATACCAAAATAAAGTACAGTGAATCAAAGGACTTCAGTTGCGCTTTGGGCCTCTTTCGGTATTTAGATCTCGGTGAGAAAACATTAAATTAACAGAGCTTAATTTGTAGCCTTTTGTCAAATTAACAAGTGTTGACAAGAGTTACCGGGGGGAGCGTCCCCAAGAAGAATTGTGGGTAACCAATAGACAATCACACCTCATTACAATAATTAAAAAATACAGCAACATGCAAAATAGCATCCTCATGAAAGACACACAACTTTCCCTGACAGAGGATTGTCTGAGTTGCTTCTTCCTTTTCATCTGGCCTTCAGACCTGTCCCCAGAAGCTGACTGGGGCAAATGGTGACTGCACAGGAATGGCCCCCGACTGGCTAAGAAGAAACGGGGGTCACAAGTTTGCATGTTCGTATTCCACAACAGCCCCCCACCAAAAAAATTGAAGACAAAGAAATGGAAACTATATTCGGGGTTGGTACTGAGCAGCAAGAGCTCATGCTGTCAAGTTTGTCTAACAATACAGCACAGTATTGAGTGCAAGGTGAAGAATGAAGGGCAGGAGAAGACTTGAACTAGTCTAAAAGAGAAGCTCAGAGCCAGGAGAGAAAGCCCATGATCCTCCCTCCACACTCCGACCGTGGAGTGCTCCCAGCACATTGCTGTGTGATGTCTACAGCAGAAATCGCTAACAAAAAATAGGAGGATACTTCAAAAAGTGTACCGAAAATAGAATTGCAAGTTCATTTTGGTGTAAGTAATTCTGTAATCCACACATCGGTTTTGCATAACACATGTTTTCCATGAACTTTTGGAAGGCCTCTTGTGCACACACAGCAACATACAACCAAGAAATACTGCATGCTGTATCAGGTATGTACGCACGCACACATACTACATGTAAACACCATTAGAGGCCTTTCTACTCTGATTTTAAAATATACATAGTTAAAAAAAAAGTTATACAAGGCAAAAAAAAAAAAAAAAAAGATCCAATTGCTTCCAAGAACCAGGGCTGACATGTGGAGGGGCCTCTCAAGCCAGGCCTCCAGCTGCCCAATGGCCAGCCTGCACGCTTAGGGAAAACACTGCCCTTCAGGACACCCTCAGCCCGTCCTGGGTCTCCTCCACAGACACAGCCTCCCACGGTGCTCTCCATCCTTAGAGGGCGATGACCACCTTGGAGTTGGAGCTCACCCTGTACCTGGATTTCAACATGAGCCAGCTAGGCTGTTCCTCCTCCTACTCCCTGTTGCCCAATACATAATACTTCCAAGGGAGACTTCAGAGGCCTCAACCTAATGACCTGACTCCAGTGTGGGTTGCCCCGGCAGAACACCCATGATGAGCTTCCCTGAGAGGGAGCCCTCTGCAGACTCACAATATACCTGAAGGGTGCTTTCATCTACCTGTGCTTTGGGGGCCCAGGTTCAAGATGCTCAATGAAGAGTCCATCTCCTATATGAGGGATCTGAATGGGATTTGCTTGGCCTGCATCCCCACAAAATACTTCAATAGCACCTTCCCCACATTTTCCCTGCGAGGGGTTCCTTACCTTCCCCATTCTCAACACACACACACACACACACACACACACACACACACACACACACACACACACACACACACATACATGCACAGACTAAATAATAAGCATGCCCATGTAAAAAAACAAAAAGGAAATTAAAAAAGTGGAACTCCTTACTGTGGTACTAACCATCCGAGCGGATGGGGGATCTGTCCTACAGTGCCGGGTGAGAGCGGGTAATACGGAGATATATCCGGAGGGTGTGGAGGCCGGGGGATTCCTGCAAGAGGAAGCAGCATGGTTAGCTACAACAGGAAGAGAAGGAAAGAGCCACAGTAGGGGTACGGAAACAGGACAAGAATGAAGACAGGCATCCCTTCTAGAATCCCAGCACGTGCTTCTTTCATGATGATAAGCACTCCAAGTTCTTGCCAAGATTTCTCTTATCCCCACCCTCCATGCCCACCCACAGTTGCAAAGAGAAGTTTCTCAGTCTTGATAGTCTGGGACACGTTGCCAGGCAAGCTCAGATCAGAAAAATGGCATCCAGGCTATTGTGTGTGATGATTCAAAGTTACAAAAAATAACTCAACAGGTAAAGGGCTTGGCTCACAGTAGGTGGTCATCTAACACTGAATTCTCCTGGGCCCTTAGAACCTGTGCCTTCCTGAACCTTCAGCAGTTCCAAGGACTTTGCTTGCATGTGAGTTTTTCCTCTGGTTCCTAACACAGTTCCAGAAATAGCGACTTGGGGAAGACCATTCTCACCAAGGTGACTCCTCCCATCATTTACAATGTTGAGCAGGGGGAATCGACCACCTGGCACTCTATCTGGGACAAAGGCAGGGAGAGGCTGGAGACCTGGCACCCTCAATTCTGCGCCCTCCTTCCCTGAGAGCTGGGGCACCTGCCACGGGTTCCCATGGTGTGTGCCCCCTCCTCACCCCACCTGCCAGGCTGGGAAGCCCAGGGAGTGATGCTCACAGAGAAGAACCCGGAAGTGAGGGGCATGACACCCATAACAGAGATGGTTCCTGGATGAAAATGATTTCACGAAAAAAAAGGGAATTCATTCTGGAAGTTTTTAATTTGTAAATTAAGTCTCCCTTGGTGACATTTTCACACAGACATTTCTTTCTCTCCATTACAAAAACCCAACAGATTAGCTCGGGCGAGGACCCTACACCAAGCCATTTGCACACTTGAAAGAATGTTCGGCAGAGGAAAAGTAAACAGTGTGCAGACGTTAATCACATGTTTTACGATAACCATTTAAAAGCTATTCCCTGTACTGCCATTATTTAAATGAGACGCTGGGCTGCCATTCATTTGCAGAGCCCAGGCTGGCTGGCGGCCTCCTCCAGCCCTGTGAGCGCCAGGCTGGGGCCTGTTTCAGTACAGAGGGGGCTCGGCCCGGAGGCCAGGGAGGACCTGCCCCTGGGTAGCTTCCTGCAGGGACCAAGCAGGCCGCTCCTCCAGGCCCATGACAGAGTCACGTCCCTAGCCAGCTAAAATCTACCCTTCCATTCCCAATCTGTGGAGAGGGACCTTGTACCACTCTGTGGTCCAGCCTCAAAGTGGCAGGTGGCCTTCGCTGTCCTCCCAGGACCAGGCCTCCAGCCCAGCAACCCTGCCTGCCTTAAGGCAGTCAGGGACCAGGCGTGAAGAAAACATGGGGACAGGTATAAAGGCTGCAAGAGAATGTGGCGACTGTGTCCTGAGACAAAACAAGATCTTCCTAGTTGGCAGTCTTCACATCTGTAAAATGGGCTTGGTGATGAAGAGGCTACCATGAGAGAAGCAAAAGCCCAAGTGAATCAGCTAGGAGCCTGTGGATCCCCACTAGGTGATCCCCAAGGGTTGCAAGCGGATCAAATTCCTGAACCATGCAGGGGACTGCGCCTTGGGGGAGCCCGGAGACTTCTCCTCCTCCTCCTCCTCCCAGGAGATGCCTACAGCAGGGTGCTGCCTGCCCAGCCTGTCAGGGGCTCTTGGGGTTGGGGGTACACCTAGAACATATCTAGGAACTGGGGTCCCCCACACAGTGGCCTTCAGGGCACTCACTGCTCCTAAGAGAGCTCTAGGACTTCAAATGGACTTCTCCAAAGTGGCGCAGAACACCTCCCCAGCCCAGGCCCCGGACCCACAGCCTACCTGTTTTGGGGTCAACATCGGCTGGTAAGTGTGGAGGTGGGTTTCCGGGCGTGAAGTGCTCATTGCTGTAGGTGATAAGAGGCGTGAGGGGGTGGACGTGGTGAGGGTGCTGCACCACCGGCACTTTGTTCGACTGTGGGGAGGAAGAGCAGAGAAAAGCACCATCAGGTGGGTCCTAGCAGCTTGGGACCACCGAGCACAGGCCTGCGGCACCTGGGCACAGCCTCCTACCTCAACTGAGGAAGGTACACTCAGGTGTCCTCGGCCCTGCCCCAAACCCATCTTCCAGTCCAAAGTGACAGATGACAGCAAGACACACCGCGGTTTAATCTGCTTCCATGTCTCCCTCCTCAATGTACCTGGCTTTTCAACTTCCGTCCTTGCTAACACCTCATCACGGAGCCCCATGAATGTGCATCTCTCCAATCAGCAGGTGAGTTGGAAATGGGAACTTTAATCTCCTGGGGCCTACTGTGCTCGCACGTGGGGCTGGGATCTCCTACCCCAAGACCCCACTGGTGGGACCTCTGGGACACAAGCAGGCCTGGCTTGGGACCAGTCAGGAGAACCTTCATTTACAAGAGCTCTGCAGCTCCCCACCAGGACCCAGGGTTCAAGCAGGCCACCCTCCAGGGCACCTCCCCTGCCTGAGAGGCACAGCAGGCCGGCCACAATCCTTTGCAGACAGTGGCGATGAAAAAGCCCACTCAGGTACTGGGGTAGGAGAATAAACTTGACCAGAAAGCTCAACCGCCTGGCCAGCACCTGCATATTTTATGCAGAGTGAGGCAGCCCTGATTCATTAGGAATTTCATTAGAAAGTCTTTGGGGGAAACGCTAATAAATTAACTGGATGATGATGAATTGGGCTAATAAAAGGTATGCGTGGAGGAAGGAGGCAGTTCCAGAACACAAAGTACGGGGTTTGGGAAGAGCGGATCAGTGGAGAGAAGCAGACAGAATGTGGAGAAGCACTGAGCGTCTATTTGCAGGTGTCATGTCTGGTCCTTTCTCCAATTATTCTCTTTTCCCCACCCAAACCAATCCACCCATCCCCGCTCCACTGCACTGGCTACAACTTAGCCCAGCAAGACCACAAAGAAAAAAAAAAAAGCTGAAACAAGCGAACTCCGGGGCCATTTACTGAGAGTAATCCAATTGCAAAAAACCCTATTCCCCATAGAGGATTTTCACTAAAATCCTACAACAGGGACATTTAACCAGATTAGGTACCAGCGAAGATAAAGAGGCTAGTACTAGATGATGAATGGATTAGAGTCAAGTTTCATTTCAGAACGTGTCTTCATTTCCTTTTATTACTTTTAGGGAGGCACCACTTGCATTAACATCAAGGAAAAGGGAAGCGGCCAGGCCCCAGTGCTGCCCACTAGCGCCTCCCGAGTTCAGGGACCACCGAGCAGTCAGTTCTCTTTCGCCTACTGCTGCCTGGCCTTTCCGTGGATGGCAGACGGAGGAATCTAACAGGGGGAAGAGTATTTTTTTTTTACCACCGCTAATTACAAGGAAGGCATACTGTTTAAAAAAGCACTTCTGACTTTTTTCTGAGTACCTTTGGAAAGAAAAATAGATGTTGGAATGGTGGCTGGGGGAGGTGGGAGGAACCTACAGGAAAAGGATATACTTCCCATAAACAAGTGGTCTCTTTCTAGAGAAAACGGCCAGTGTCTAGCACATGGGAGCCCCGTGTGTTGTGTCGGACTCTTTGGCCATCACAGCAATTCAGCGGGAAGCTACCAAGGCAGAGGAAGACCATCAGACAACCAGGAAACCTCCAGAGTTGCCAGCCAGTCATCCCGGACATGCCAAGGTCACGGTTCCCAGGCCAGCAGTTGCCACTCATAAGCATACTCTGAGGGTCTCTGCAGGGGAAGACTCATGTTTGAGGGCGCCCTGAAAAGTAATGAACTTACTGAGAGGCAGAGAGAGAGAGGGTGGGGGGGAGACTATCAGGAAGAAAGGGAAAGGACTGTTGCTGCCTTCCAGAAGTTTCCTGCTTGGTTAGAAAGCTACACACCCGCGGACATGAAAGAAAGCTGAGCAGTCCGAGGCAGTTTCAATCAAGTGTAGAAAAACAGCATGTTCAGTAGGGGGAAATCACACAGCGTGTGCAGAAGGGAGGACTCTCCTGAGGGGTGGAAGGACTGGCCCGACACCACAGGTGCAGGTCCCCCCACGCGCACCTCCGTGCGCAACAGGAAGCAGCCGGCTTAAGTATAAAACCACATGGGGGCAATGAAACTGGAAGTCCCCAATCCTGGCGAAGTCAGGCACCTCTCCAGATGCCTTGTGCAATTCCCAGATACCTCAGTCCCAGGAGGTCTCAGAAGGGCCCAGTCAAGTACACCTACACTCTGAACATGCACCTGTTCAGCCACGACCCAGCACACCCCAGGCCAGAGAGCCCCCGGGGGCCACCACGGCCAAGCACAGAAGTTAGGAGACTGGAGTTGCAACAGAGTCAAGTGCAGGCGGGAGAAAATCTAGCAGGTGGTTGGTTTATCACTATTGCTGGCAGGTTATTAGTCATGTGATCGCTATTGCTGGGAAGGAGCTGCCTGATGACAAGGTTCTGTCTGCAGCACAGAACAAATCCCACAGCCGCTGTCCAAGTGGGACCACCGGGAATGCGGGGGAACCCTGTGCCCCTCTTGTACACCACATCATGAAGGCTGCGGCTGCGCAATCCTGTCTTTCCCCGGGTGTGGGGTTTACACATTAATTCTCCTTTACTAGCTCCGTGCATGAAGCAATTCCAACAAAACCTGCAGCCCTGCCCCAAGTGCCAATGCCCCTGTATTATTTTGCTCACTTGTCCTAACCTGTCCATTCAAAATGTTGTAGTGTGGGAGTCAGGAGGGTGCAGGAGGTGACAGCGGAGGGGGAAGTTTTAGGTGCTGCCTGCCTGGCTTTCAAGGAAAACTGGCATCTCTGCCAGGGCCTGGCCATTCCTTCTCATCTCAAAGGCCACCCCAAGCTTGTAGGACCCTGACAACATCCCAGCCACCTGTCTGTGTGAGATGACCAGGTCCCAAGGTGCAAGGAGCCCTCGTGGGTCACACCCATCGAACAGGCTGACCTGCCTACACCCTGACTCCTTTTACGATGGGAGGCCTGTGGTGTCCGTCTCTCCAGCCTTGAGACCTCACACAACCCTTTGTTTCCACGTTGCTTTATACTCGCTGCTGGCCTGCCTCTGCCTAAGTTTCCTAAGGACAAGGATAGAGGCTTGTAGAACTTTGCGTCCCTGCCATGCCCAGCCCTTGAGAATGGTGAGCACAGTCACAAAAGCTATCCACGAACCTCCATGCTGCAACTTCAAGTATCGGGAGAGGAGGAGAGCTGCCCACAGCGGCTTGTTTCAAGGAAATGGCTGTGCTCTTTAAATGTCCTTGACTGAGAATCACAGAACACCCGGGAAGAGGAGGTAGGCAAGGGCTTCAGGAGCCAACCAGGCCAAGGCCCTCCACTGCAAACTGCCCTTGCAAATTTTAAATCTTTTTAAATTCGTTCACTCACTTTTTTTCTTTTCTTTTTCTTTTTTTTTTTAATTGAAGAGGAAAAAAGAAAATCTTCAGTTCACTGGTTCACCCTCCAAATACCCCTCCCTACTCTGAAGCCGGGGACTCAGTCTTCAACCTAGGCCTCCTGCATGGTTGGCCAAATCCTCAGGCCCCTGGCATAGCCCACAGGAGCCACCAGGGATGAGCACTGTGGCTTCGGGGTTTGTCCTGCCTGCCCCAGCTGGGAACAGCAGGCATCCGGTAGGGTGGCTGTGCCAACGCAGGGAGAGCTGCGCGTAAATCACAGGGCTTGGGCTGGAAGCACACTGCTGGCAACTTTGGAAAGCTTGTTCCGTGGCTCCTGAATGTGATGACGCAGTGAGCGGTGCCTGTGGTCTCCTCTTCCGGTTGCATTGCCGGAGTGAGAGCACAGCTACAGATGCTCACTGAGGGACAAGAGTATCCTGGGAGAGGAGTGGGTTGTGGCCACTGGCTCAGGCCCAGTACTGACATCTTGTGCAGACATCTTTGTATCTCTTGGGAGAAGACCCATTACTTGAGCACCCCAATCAAGGAGATGACCAGAGGGGAGCTGAAGAGGAAGGAGGAAACACAGCAAAAGGTCTTTCTAGAATCAGGGAGAACTGATGGACAGCAGAGCTTTGCACTCAGGACAGAGAGGAGGCCTCCCACCTCCTCCTCCTCCACCTCCCCCTCTCTGAGCATATTTTCCCTAGAGGTTAGGCACCCTGAGAAAGTCTGCACCTGGGGGTGTCATCGCTGGGACAGCAGGGGATGCAGACGGCAGGGCGGCCAGGACAAGAAAGCAGTAACAATGTAGGGAAGGGTGGTGGGCTACAGGGACTCCAGTGTCACTCATCTCCTTGCTTTATCTTTTTATCCACCAAACAATTGCCACATCAACCCTGCTATTTTTCAGGTAACTACTTAACTTAAAGGTGGGGGTGGGATGCCAAGTCATTCGTCCTGCTAACTCCTGTTCAAGGTCATGGCAGCGAAGGTCAAAGGAACCAGCAGGAAGAACTTCGGTCACTGTGGAACCCTCCAAGTTTAAGATGAAAATGGTGACTCTTCTCAACCACATTCATTGTACCTTCCCCCCTGCCGCGCCCCCCTCTCCCTGCTGCCCGCCCCCTCCCCCATCCCACAATGTTTCAGCACACACAGCCTTGTTGCCGCCACCCTCAGGACGTGCAGCTCACTTCCAGAGCCTCTGTCTGGGGTGACCTGACCAAGCACACACACCTCCTCCCCGGGCTCTGATCTCCTGGACCTCCATTTGGCTCAGAGCTGCCACCATGCGAGGGAGTCCTGCCTGTGCACGAGCCTGCACGTGGCACACGTGACACACTTAGCAGGGCGAAGTCCTCACGACTCAGAGCGGAAGTCGCTACCGTGTGCTAGCAGTTCGCACACAGCAGGCGAAGGCCAGGCCGGGCAAAGCTTATCCTCCCTGGCGTGACCCTCTCCACCTCCTTTTGGTGTCCGCAGCTTCCTCAGGGACACCTACGACTCCAATTCTTGTGAAGGGGTTGGATGCCAGGCTAAATGTCATGGGGGGCAACCATGGACCCCGCTAGCCTTCCTAATT